AACCTATGGCCGCATTGTAGCACCGTGTCCATGTACTAGAGCGTGGGAGTATCATCGCGAGTTCTATACAGTGTTTCTCAGTTCTCACCCCCGAACGTTGCAATGAGGATGTAAAGTTCACCCCAAAGGGTTATTCAGATACACGACATAACACAGGACATAACGCACCTACCTTCTCTACGGTACCCTGGTAGTGTACAGTAGTGTGATTCCTGCCTGCAGAGTCTGCAGTCTGCAGTGCAGAGTCTGCAGAGCGCTACGGTAGGTCTGCAGTGCAGACCTACCGTAGCGCTTAGTTTAAACGGCATGCAATCGCTCTACTGTACTGTACGTCACCCTCTCCCCACCTCTCGAAAGAAACACAGTTGAAGCGGTCTTCTAAAAATATGGCATGCAATTTTCATTTCACCGCTTTCCTCTGTCGAGGGCCGAGGGCGAGGCGAATCGGGCGATGCACAGTGTGCATTGCACACGATGTGCGCTGGCGTTTTTGCTCAATTCGTTCTGCAACGCCACGGGATTTAATTATCATTCCGTCTTGCCGTTGTGGGTCCAATCTGTTCCAAGGGGGGGTGCTCTGGTGCTTTTCGTATATTTTGTGTGGTTTTGTTTTTGTTTCTCCTGCCACTTCCACTCTTCCGGCATACAGACTGATTAGGTGAGAGCCCCCTGGGGGCTTTAGTCATGACACCTCACCTCAGGCGTCAACTCCACACCATGGAACAGGGTCTCAGCCACCTGACAGAGTGTTGCCTCTCTCATACATGTTGAGTGAGAACAAGTTGATTTGAACTTTTTGGCACGTCACACTTTCAATATCGACGCATGAAATGATATGCGCATAATTATCTGATATTTGGGGGATCCTGTACTGTGCTGTACTTGTTTTCTATTTTTCTGCACAGTACCCAAGGGTACGGTTGGAGAGCAGGCGCGGGGGCACACTCGAATCTCCCTTTCTGACACACAACGAATATTCATAGAAAACACTGCCCAAGAAATCTCAAGGCGACAC